TTAATATAAGGCTCATTCCAGTTAGAACTGAATGAATTCATTCTCTGGTTCTGTTTCATTCTCATCCAAAGTTTGATTGGATGCATTTGTTTCGAAAATATGTACATAACTGAAACCCTTCAATGACTTGAGCAACAGAATGCAATAGCTGTTCTGCTCCCATTGACATAATGGATCAAAGGGAATCTGGACTTGTGTCTCCGGAGGCAAATGATTCAGCAGATAACTTGCTCCTATTGATGTAATGGAGTCTAGTCAATTGTGTACTTTCTCTGCTTAAATAGGTCAGACTTTCTCTTCATGTGTAAATATATGCAGCCTTTTCAGTTACCATCTCCTTTACCCTGGGTAAAAGCAGCAAATAAATACGGAAACAAGCAATGGGGAAACCACTAGGCCTGGACCATGCTAAGAAATGATTTAGAAGAGGCGGTTTGGCCCTCGCAAAGGTCTGCTCTTCATTACAACGGCTCAATTTTAGGTTGGCACAAAACCCTAAAAGACGTCAAGTTGCTTTTAAAAAAAAAATAAACAGCAGAAGAGCACTATACTTTGCAAGAGCCGGAGAGCTTCTTCATAAACATTTCTGAACCATGTGAAGGCCAAGAACACATGAGCATGATGTATAAGAAATAAACACCAGACTTTGCTCTTCCATCCCTCCTCAAATTTGATTACCTTGTTCCTGTTGCTATAATCCTCAGCCAGCTCTTTTACACTGAGCACGCTTGTCGTATGCTAATGCTATATTTCTATATGTGTTTTCCTTTTCTGGACGACTTTGAAAGTTTCTCTGAGATCTACAAAATCTCCCAGAAGGGTGGATTTGTCTAAGTCAGGGGTTGGCAGCCTTAAAGAGCCATTTGGACCCATTTCCCACAGAAAAGAAAACAGCGGGAGCCAACAAAACCCTTCCATTGCCTGAATATTTCCTGAGCGCCACAGAACTAGCATATGTAGTTGAATTAAATGTTCTGTTTTCTTCTGAAACTTTTCTTTTCTTAGATTTATCCATGGTGGGCCTACCTGGGGTCGAAAAGCTCAATAAGTTGCATGCCGGCAGGTATAACACATTGGTGGTTGGGACACATATGTTGAGTGACAGGGAGCCGCAGCAGCGGGATGAAAGAGCCACATGCGGCTCCAGAGCCACGGGTTGCTGGCCCCTGGTTTAAGTAGAAGTAAAAAAACAACAACATAGCATTAGAGAAATGCTTACTTCTATGCCCTAAAAACTGCATGGGTTATTTAGTATTTTGAGTGAGATTAATAATCCCACATACATCACTGACAGAAAGGAAAGAGGAGTAAGCAAAGATACAATGTCCATGTTATTTTCAGGCTGTGTAGAAATATATCCACAGGGTCCTTCTTCCCACACATGTAACTCAGATGCAAATCCAGTTAAATCTGTTTTATTAGCAATTTTGGTAGCTCATAATCATGCCAGAGAGATCAAATGTCACCATGATGTAAGGAATAGAGATCCGACACCTTCTCCAAGAAAGGTTTTAGTGTCTACGAGTTCTTTCACAAGGAGAATCTTCACGACATCACTAGCTTCTTCCTCATTGGCCAGAGAGGCAGTAGTGGGCGTGACTTGGGTGGCCCAGCCCAGTGGTGGATTCCAGATCCCATTCCAAGGGTGCTCCAGGCAGGCTCCGGTACGCCTATACCAGGGCATACCACCTGCAACCCACCACAGGCCCAGCCACTCAGAGTTTGTGAAGATACAGTTGGAACGTGCCTGGCAGCATCCACATGGACGCGCGCAGCGCACATGCATCTTAGCGCCTCCGTGAGCCTCCGCAATGCTCCAGCTGCTCAGCGGAGTGTCGTGCACGCGTTGTATGCACCATGCAATAGCAATAGCAGTTAGACTTATATACCGCTTCATAGGGCTTTCAGCCCTCTCTAAGCGGTTTACAGAGTCAGCATATCGCCCCCNCAGTATACAAATACAATCATGGAATTTAACACATATTGTATTTCCCCCCTCCCCCCTCCCCCTAAATCCCCACCTCCCTTCCCTCCCCCCGAGCTCTGTTATTAAATGAGTTGATAATGGAAATAAATGTTAAGCTGCAAGTAGGGGATTACAGTATAAAGCAAGACTTCCAAGATAGCTTTATTGAAATGTTAGTTATTCCAGATAAAGTTATTCCAGTTTAGCAAAGAGAGAAAAAGTTCCAATACATCACATGATGCTGCCATGATGACGTGAGTTTGACACCCCTGCTTTAGAGGATATTTCCATTCTTCTACGATATCAGGATAGAGCATAAATAGCCACAGCTGCAGTTGTGCTCCAAAAATCCTTCATTAGAACCCCTGAACAAAAGCAGCATATTAAGAAGAATTACATAAATTCATGAAGGATAAGTGTCTCAATGGTTACTTGTTCTTATACTACGTATTAGGGCTGTGCCATGTTCAGATTAAAAAAGAAAAAAAATGCTTCAGAGCATGCATGGATAAATATAAACACTTGTTGGTAACTCCTTAAAGCAAGTTTGTCTGGGATTGTGCTACAGTTGTGGAAGGCACAGCTGCTTTAAAGAGCTGCCAACAAGTGTTTTGTAAATGCTTCATTTGCTCCAAAGCAGTCCCTTGCTGCTTTGCATTTGAAGCATTCCATAGCTCTATTAAACATTATTTCTACTGTCACAGGTAGTATAAGGTAAACGTTCCCTTGCACATGCATGCTAGTTGTTCCTGGCTCTAGGGGGCGGTGCTCATCTCCATTTCTAAGCCGAAGAGCCAGCACTTCGTGGTCATATGGCCGGCATGACTAAACACCAAAGGCGCACGTAGCGCTGTTAACCTTCCCACCAAAGTGATCCCTATTTTTCTACTTGCATTTTTTGTGTGCTTTTGAACTGCTAGGTTGGCAGAAGCTGGGACAATGGCTCACTCCATTACGTGGCACTAGGGATTCGAACCGCTGAACTGCCGATCTTCTGATCGACAATGCATATCAAATGTCATAACTTTTCTGAGGCATGTAGGGTGAACTCTGTCTTTCTCAGTTAATCATTCAAGGACTTTCCTTCATATTGAGCCATGGAAAAAGTTATAGGAGAGCCTTTTTAAAAGGGACAGGATAATGAAAGGATGCAGATTGACAGGGGAGTGAAGTAGGTGGGAAAAGAAACTGTATTAATACTGTTACAGAATTACTGTTTCAATGTCCCTTCTTGCCCCTTCATTTCGAGTTCTGATAACAGTTAATGACTCTGAGCCTCTAAAGGTGAACTGGAGGAGAGCACATTTCTATAAAGATACCAGAAGGATTTCTCCATTCTTGGACTTTATGAATCTAAGACAGAAGAAGATTAATGTGGACATGAGCTATAGCAACATTATAAATGAGCAAATGCAAAAATGACAAGAACTTGAAAGGACAAGTAGGTGGAGCCATTGAATGAAAGGAATCTTTCATTCCTTCATGTCCCATCTACTCATAAGCTTATGAGACCTTTTCTAGAACCCAGTGCCAATGTTTTAAATGAAGGAAGCTTCAATACCTATCCTCATCCCTCATTAATAAAATTGTCCTATTCTTCAAACATTTGTTCATCTGCCAAGTAGGAAAATGCAACAGTGGTAGTTCAAGAGATTGTTACTGAAATGCAATGTAAGATCCAGTGCTGGCATATAGTTTCTTCTTGAACTATAAAGTATTGACCAGCATATCATGTGGGGAAGGACCCAGACTCACATGAAACCTATCAGCCCTTCCATCCCCATTCCTCCGTTCTTTTTTACTTTAAGTAACTTTTGTGTCTGTTACAGTGTTGGCTGAAGTGGCTGAACTCTTAATTCTAAGATCTTCCTTTCTGCCCACAGTACTGGATCAGCTTCTTCCCGAGCTGAACATCCTGCTCAAACTCTTGGACCATGAATACCTGAGTGCCACCACAGTGGAGAAGAAAAACACTGTTTCAGATATCTTGCAAAAGCTACAGCCTCCTGCAGGTTAGGAAATACTCGTTATATTTCATCACTGTGTTTTAACTTGCTGTTTTCCTCCCCCCCCCCCTTTTTTGTGCAACCATAACTATAAAAAATATGTTTGGCATCTTTTCTTCCTCGATTGTGACATGTTCTGACTCCTGGCATGTCCAGGCAGATGTCAGTCTTTTGTTTAGGTATTGGGGAATCACTGGAATGATTGCAACATTTTCCCAGTCATTTGCCTCCAGTGACAGTTGACAGTGATCAGTTGCCTGGCCAGCAAGTCCTGTTTTGCTCTTTTAAAAGCCACTCGGAATGGTTTCCTGGAGGCAAAAGGCAAGTTGAGGCTTTGTTATCCAGGACTGTCCATGATGCCAGAGAGGTATAAAACTATATTTTCATGAAAGATGTTAATTCGGGCAAATGAACTGTTCCTTTACAATCAACTCATCACATTCTCTAAATCCAACTGCTCTGTAATTGCTGTGAACATTTAACAAGGAGGCAAGCACCAACACATTACAGACATAGCGACAGATTAAATGCGTGTCCTCCAGTGCTCTAGTCCTGCTCCAAATTGTTTTGATTGAGAGAGAGGGGGGGGGAGAGAGAAAGGTAGAGAGAGAGAGCTAAATCCTTATAGTAACCAAAGGATGCCTAAAGCATCCTTTAGGTCTTGTGGTTTCACAAATGAAACATGTGTACAGTATCTTTGTTTTCTTTACATGAATAGGAGATTGCAGGGAGGGGTTCTACATCCCAGAAAGCTAAACAGGCAGCTTATCTCTAGCAACTTCTTCATATCTCTTCCCTCCCTCACTCCCTCCTGCATCTGTTTCCATTATGGTTTTCATAATACAGGATCCTTGGTCCTTTGTTGTTACAAGTACCTGACTCCCTCTGGTGGAGCATTCCATGCTAATGGACTTTTCCAGCTGACCTTGAGGAGCAGAAATAAACAGGCATTAAACAATAGCTGGCAAGAGCTGACTGTTCTATTCTTTGAGCCATCTGAGCCTTACACACAGAGTTTCTTCATATTTATGATTGTTCCCCGTACAGGACAAATGAAATTGTAAGCCTTTCAGGGTGGATATTTTTCTACTTTTATTTTTTGGTATTGTATTTCATGCTTTCTCAGGTCAGCCAATTACCTTTTGGGAATTTGTATCATTAGTCCTATATTAGTTTTTCCAGACGGGATGGGCTATCTGTCAGAATCCATGGAGTGTCTGCCTCTCTGTGTGTATGTGACTTTGTTTGGGCATGCTCGTGTATGTATGTGACTCTATATGTGTAGAACAGCAGAACCCTCAGGTAGTGAAAATAGTGGTATTATTTAACTTTGCTTTAGTTGGCCAGGAATTGTTATTTTCTTTCCTGTGGAAATGTGTGTTTCCACTAGACTTCCTGCTGCTGATTTCTGCTGAGACAGAAGATTTCCATAGGAAGAGCAAATGGTTCACATTGTCTGATCAGGAGATTTCTGCCTTCTGTCCTGCAGCAACACCCAGCACATATATTCTTCATAACTTTGGATCACCTGAAACAATTCTGAAATGGCCCTCTCTGAAGGAAAGTGATATCACCTCATTCTTGCCTTATACTTTTCAGATATCAATTTTTCCTCTTGAAAATAGGCATGGCCCCTTCTGACATTCTTCAAAGTTGGCATGAAATTGCTACTTAATTAGACTGGCTGAAGTTTGGGAACCAGAGATAGATGAAGTGATAAACTTTTGTTCAGATAGCTGGAAATATAAATGCACTGTTTGTTCAGATATTGTGAATTTTACTGCTGTCTTATGAAATCATGATACAAACTGACAAGAAATTAATGTGATAGGCAAATCTGGATGGTCTCATCTGCTTTGTGAACTCATGATGGCATATTCACATCTATGAATCAAATCTACAACTTAGTAAGACAGTACAGATTAGAGGGATAGGGAATTCAAAATTCTGCAAGGACTGAATACCTGTTTTGTTATAGTGGATATTTTTTTCCTATAGACTAGAACAGGAGTTTAAGCTGTTCTAAAAAATCTTTATATTTCATGGATGCTTACCAGTTTTTGTCTGTTAAAAGATCACACATGGCAAATGAATTTTCACAGGAAGAATGCTACCTCATTATTACCAATTGCTGCTTTAAAATGTACAATAGAAAATATTAAGTATATTCTGGAGTCTTTTGTGTGCATTGCAGACCAATGAGAAGCCAAAGAGTTTAGTTTCCTGCATAAAGGAAGCTAATGTCATCCTAGCAATGACTTGCAACAGTGAGAGGGAAGATCAATTATTAAACATTGAATGTTACTTTTTGTGTATTTATTACATCATTTCTATCTTTCAGGGAAGGATGTGAATTACATGTATATGAATACGACAGCACTGCATAATGGCACTAGTTTTGTGGAATCACTGTTTGAAAAGTTTGGTATGTACAGTGGATTGATGTGATTATATTGTCACTTATAGGTGTGGTTATTTTGATCTCATTCAGTACCTGGAAGTACTATAAGTGACAGAGAACCCACGAGGTATCAGAAAATCACTTCATCTCCAACAATTGATTGATTTGACATACATACACATATTGATTATTTACCTATAGATTTTGACAAATTTAAATACTACCATTTTGTTAGTATTGGCTATAGGTTTGGAAACAAATATATTTCCTCCCTGCTTTAGTTCTGAAAAGCAATAGCTCTTTTGAATTATGAAGAATACACTTATCTAGTCTGATCTTTTATTTCATAGTCAAGGTTGTATCCAACTTAATACTTTCAAATTATAATTTCCCCCAGTCCTAACATACCACAGAATCAGCATAGATTGTGATCAGCATAACTATCCAAGTCTCTCATTCTTCTTGATCACCTGCTTACTTCAGCTGACTCTCTCTTTCTGTCTTCCTTTCTCTGTCTCCCATAGTGACTCTGAAAAAGAGGCTACATAAATCTCAGGCTCTGTACCTTTGTGGGCCCAAACTTTAAGATCTGATGCAATAATGAATATGCGTGTTACTGTACTATTGAGTCTCTGGCTTCTAATCTTTTCTCAGACTGTGACTTGGGCAATCTTCAGGACATGCAAGAAGATGATGGAGATGGTAAAGAAGGCATCAGCTTGGAGCTTTCAAGGAGTCAATCAGCTAAAAGTGTAAGTTCCATCAATTCTCAGTTCCTCATTCCATAACACATGAGAGTGTTTTATACTAAGGACAAACACTGGTCATCTACTTCAGTGCTGCTCATCTTCATTTTCTCTAATTTGGCTCTCTCCAGAAACATTGGAACCATAGAGGTGGGTTCCTACCGGTTCGGACAGGTTCGGTCGAATAGATAATAACTCAGCTGGCCACGCCCTCAAACCAGTTTTATCGGTGGCTCCCTAGGTGGTGCCATCTTGGTTTTTTTGCTTCTGTGCATGTGCAGAAGCATTTTATACACATGTGCGCATAGCACATGCACGCATCACATGCATCAAGCGCACACGCGCCCTCAGCACATCCCTGAGCGAACTAGCAGTAGCAGTTCACTAACCCTAACCCCTGCTTCTATCCTAGCAGAACTGATGTGCATCAAGTTGAGGAAAGCTGGTGTATAGTGATTGACTGTCATATTTAAAGTTTTATATCTGAGACTTTCTTAGCTGATAAACTGAAGAGGCCACTCGTGGGCAAAACAGGTTTGAACTCTGCAGAGGACACATTTTGTATAGATTTTTATTTCTTTCTACCAGGCTCTTACAAGATGGGTCATGGTGGAATTCTTTGGGTACTTGATACCTGGGGTGGAGCTACATTGTAGATCTCTTGAGATAAGCAAAGAGACAGAAAGCAATGCTAAGAAGCAAAGAACTAAGGATCACATCATGTCTGAAAAATTCTGCTTATTCTATGCTTGCAAGACACATAGCTTGGAAAGAAGCCATCAGAACACTTATTTCATCAGCTATTTTCAAAGTTCAGGTTAGATGATAACATTCTATCCAAAGAGAAACAAAAATCCATTCCTTTTTTATAGCCAAATTTATTTCACATAAAGACCTGATATGCAATCAGATGCAAATATGGGAGAGGGATAATGAGATTGGAGACCAAAAAAAAATAGAAAGACATTTTTTCTTCCCTTTAAGCCAGAAATGGTTGAAAAGAAGCATTGTTAAACATGAAAACATTCTCACTCAACTGAAGCAACAAATGTTTGCAAATGTTAGTACTACTTTTATCCAACAACTGTGGTAGAATAAAAGAAGTATACGTGTATGCATTGTAGAGAAGCAAAGAATTATCTCTTATTTAGATGGAATAGTTCTTATTGCCCAGAGCAAGATTAAACAATGGTCTACATAATAATTTCCCCTTGTTTCCAATTCAATTGCTCTAAGGTCACACAGGCATCCAGCATAGCACTGTGGGCCCTTAAAGATATTTTATTACACAACTGCTCTAGATCATTTATAAAGTGATATTGGGGTAGGTTATCTACACTAACATCCTTGAATTTTCCCATTGTTTCTTTTATCTTTTTTTCCTACCTGAGAAAAATCAATTAAGGTTAGAAAGCTAGATTGGCTATCTTCTGGTAGGTAGTTTAATGGGGTTCTCCCATGGCCATTATCCACACTGACCAGAGGCGGGTTCCTACCAGTTCACACCTATTCGGTAGAACCGGTTTGTCAAATCTACCGAACCGGTTAGAAGAGGTTCCACCAGTGGACCCGGAAAGCAGGCCACACCTACAGAAGAGGTTCCAAAATTTTTTGAAACCCACCACTGACACACACACAGACAGACGGACAGACAGACAGACAGACAGACTGACACAGAGAGAGAAAGAAAGAAAGAAAGAAAGAAAGAAAGAAAGAAAGAAAGAAAGAAAGAAAGAAAGAAAGAAAGAAAGAAAGAAAGAAAAAGAGTGAGAGATGAAAGAAAAAAAGAAAAAAGGGACAGAGAGACAAAAGGAAGGAAAGAGTTAGAGAGAACACATGGCCGGCAAGCCACTCCCACCAGGTCACATGGCCGGCAAGCCACTCCCACAAAAGAGGCCACACCCACAGAGTAGGTTCCAATAAACTTTGAAACCCACCACTGACACTGACGCTATAGACACAAGAGCTCCTGAGCCTGAGGAATTTCTCTGCAGAAATTCCTCCATTTGGAAGATACATTCGGCGACAGATAATAACACTGCAACATTCAACCCCATTTGAATGCTGCATTCTTTTTCTCACAGGTTTCTGGGGAGCCGCCTCCACCATTGCCCACGACTCCTCCTCCAGAAGATTATTATGAAGAAGCTCTGCCGTTGGGCCCAGGCAAAGCTCCCGAGTACATTACATCTCACAGTAAGCCTTAAAGAGGGCCAGCTATGGAAGGAAACAGCTGGCATTTTGGCACTCTCCTATCAGCTAGGAAAATAAAGGCTCCTCCCAGAGGTGTCTGGCAGCTGACAGGGTTATAATTGGTACCGGGGGCAGGCTTTCCTGCTCCTTTCCTGGTTATTTTCTCTTCCTCCCCCATCTCTAGTTGGTCAGATGTCACAAGCAGTTGTTTGCTCAGACTTGCCTGGAAATGTATAGTAAATCTTGAGTGACAAGAAAGGAAAGGGCCTGCCTGAGAACAATGTCGCTCTGTCTCTCCCGTAGCTTGTCTGAGAGATTAGGGGAAGGCAGAGAAAAGGGCGCAGCACCTGTTCTTGTTCTTGTAATCACTGAGCCCTAGTGAAGCCACGTACTGGTCTAGCAACAAAAACAAGAACATTATAAGGTTTCCTGCTGATGCAGCTGACTCGTGGCATAAGTGTCATGAGAATCATAAGGAGAGAGTAAGATCCTGTTACAAGGATTCTGGAAAGACCCTCCTATATTAAAGTCAAGAAGGAGAGGTTTCAATGGGGGGTTGGCTCTGGGACTCAGCCCCATGGGAACTGTGAATGAATGTGAAAAACAACCAGAGTAAAGCATACTGAGGTTGTTTGAAGGCAGGGTATGTGCTTTCTACTAATGGTTGCAGTAAGGAAATAATGTGAGAAAGCAGAAAGCAGTTGGGAACAGATAATTATGGCTGGCACCCAATAAACTCTATTTTATATTTCTTTTGCTGTGGTTCCCTTTAGAGCAGCGGTGTCAAACTCGATTTAATTGAGGGTTGTGTTTGACCTTGAGGCGTGGCCAGGGTGGGCATGGCCAGGTTGACGTCACCCATGTTGGGGGTGCCTGTGATAGCCTGAATGCTCTGCCAGAGAAAGCAGCCTCCAGAGCTCCGTTTTTGACTGCAATGGTGTCCTGCAACCCCCTGCCAGCAAAAATGGAGCTCAAAAGAGCCATGTCATCCCGAGCTCCATTTTCGCTGGCAGAGACACTGCGGGTCAGTCCTTCGCTGTTTCCATGGCAGCCCAGATGTAAGCAACCCTGGGCCTTGAGTTTGACACCCCCGCTTTAGAGTATCCCTTTAGAGATGGGCAAGTAAAAGTAGAAAAAGGATTTATCAGTGAGATGGGTGGCATAAAAATTAAATAAAAAATTGTCTCAACTTATTGTTAGTCCTGACTTACTGGTAATAAAAACTTTTCTGTATCCTTCAGAGTTGACTTACAGTGCAGCTCATACATCTCCCTGCAAAGTTTTTCTCACTGCTTAATTTTTACAGTTTAAAATATTCCTTCTGTTTTCTGTACAGACAGCTCCAGTCCTCCCAATTCAATAGAGGACGGATACTATGAGGATGCAGATAGCAACTATCCTGTCACCAGAATAAATGGGGAGCAGAAAAACTCTTGTAAGTAGCACTGCAATTATATGTGTTGTGTACATCAGTTGGGGGAAAGGAATCATTCTGATTGCAGAAGATTCAGGCAGTCAATACAATTTTATGAAAATATTATACTCTGGTATCTTTTTTGTTTTTTTAAATACATTTTTATTTATTTTTGAACAAAGGCAAATTGAAAAAAAAACATCTTCCATTACAAATTGTAGAAAGTGTGTCAGTTGGTTACAGTACTTCCATGCATCTCTTCCATANATTACAGAGTTGTTTATCCGTGTGTTGTCCTGCCATTGGATTCTCAGCTTGTTTCACGGTTCCGTCGCCACGGGAACCAACACTCTCCATTTATCCGGGCTTGTGACCGGCTATGGTTTCCCATAGGCTGGGTTATGATCCATAAGAAAAGAATAATTACCTTGTGGAGCTAACAAGTTTAGGCCAGAGAAAAGAAATCTACACAGAAAGAGCCTCTCTTTGTGCAGCACCTAATTTGTGGCTTCTCAACACCCCAAGAATCCATTTTCCTGTGGTAGGATTATTTGAGTTTTGATGTTTTTGCAAATTTATGGAAGGAGGCAAATTATTGCCACTTTAATCCCACCTTTCTACTGATTCCAGTGACTTAAAATTGTAGTGCTGAAATTCTGCCATTGAATAAGGAGATATAATGGGGAGGGGACATTTTTTAAAAAAAAATATTTATGGGAATTCTAAAGTAGGAATGGAACAAGTTGGTCTCACAGATGTTATTTGTTCCTTTTCTATTCTTGATCCTCACTGAAGAAAAAATCAGTGTTCTCTAGAAGATTGGAAAGTCAAATTGTGCCACTAGCCCTACAAATGCTCCAAAAGGCCTTGATTATATTAGTATTCAGTAAAATATCTACAGGATACTTATAACATAACATAGTGAAAACAGCCTTCTCTGTGTTGTTTTATGTTTAAGTGGTATCCCATTATATATTCCCAACAACAACAGAATTATTTGGACTGAAATAGAACACCTGTAGAGGAAAATGTTTGCGGAAGACTTGTTTAACCTTTCTCTTCCTACTTAATACCTAAGTTAGTGCCATAAGCTAATCACACAGTAACCATTTCTTAGGTAGCTAAGAAACAGAAGCACGGAGTTAAACAATTAACAGCATTTGCCATAGACAGAAGATATCTAGGGAAGGGGTTGACTGATCATATAGGCTCAACTTTATATCATAAAGGAGAATTTGCAGCATGAGGGCTTGGCTTCTTTGTAGTTTGTCCATACTGACATGGAGATATGTACTCTTTCGGAGATTTCGTGGGGCATTTATCTGGGAGAAATTTAATGAAACCTATAAACTAAGTAATTTATATCAGAACTGCAGGGATGAAAGTTTAATGACTTGGGATTTGATTTATTTTCTGTTTTGGCAGAGCAAGTGTTCTTTGGCTTGAGTACTGTCAGGAAATTAGTATTAAAAGTCTTTGTTCCTCCTTATATTACTGGATGATTTTTTTTTTGTTATTGTTTTTAGTATTTTCACATCTTTCCTTTACTGCATATATTAGTTAAAGCACTCCCTGCTCCTGGCTTGGGATGAAACTGTTCAGATCCTCCCTTCCTCAGAATGTTAAGTACTCTCCTGGCCCCAGTCCACCTGACACTTCAATGGGCTGGATAAATCCAACTTTCTTTTGAAAAACCATCTCCCTGAATTAAAAATAACCAAGTCAACTAGGGTTCTTTTTGGACCAGAGTACAATCCAATCTGAATGAGATAGAGCAGGAACTGGATGCACTTTCTGCCCTGTAAGGAAAAAGCCACTGCCCTGTTTTGAAAGCTCTTATCTCCTTAAAACTTCTGTCAACATTCTCTGCTGAAATATTAGAGAACTGGGAGTAGGAATAATAAAAATCAGCAAAGCCCCGCTAATGAATGAGCTATTGAATGAACTTTATAATTTTTTTTCCTTCTATCTTACGAGGCATAAGAAAAACATTATCTTGAGTTAGGACCTGTTAGCCAAATGATACCCTTAGGCATAAAACTGGTGTCAGTTTAACATAACTTAATCAGAAATAGCTAGCATTAGAAATTAATCCTGCAAGCAAGCTGAAAAATTAGGTGTAGATCTTGCCTTTTTCAACCTGATGCTGACCATGTACTGGGTTTCTAAGTTCCAGGATTCCTAGCTAGGAGTGGTCCCAAATTATTTGGAGGACACTCATTTTTACTAGGCTTGTATATATTTCTATTCCTCAAAAATTGATCACAAGCTTTTTTCCTCTTTATTCCTCATATTTGATAAATGCCAATCATAGTTCATAGCTCCTGGATTAAGAGTTGGCTTTTCAGCTGCTAACCTGTGATCCCAGATGGAGTTTGCTGTATTCCTTTGTAAGGCAAGGAAACCTGGAGGGCATTTCTGTGGCTGGAAAAACATAACCTGACAGTTTGAAATGAAGTGAACTTTTTATTATAGCAGAGGTGTATCCCTGTTTGTAAAGTGTTGGAATTTATTACTGTCATTCTAAACTCTTATCTCCTGCCCAGGTGATAAAGGAAGTAAGCAATCCCACTGGAGGAGGATTAAATGGAAATGAAGTTCCTCTTTCTCCTACACTTACCTACAAGATGGATCACGATAAGGTAAAATTTCCTAAAATTCTGTTCCCAGGACAAGCTGGACATCATCCACATAACATTCATACTATTCAAGTGTACCTTTCCACATATAACTAGCAAGTGGAAGAGGGGAGAATATAACCCTTTTTTAATCTGTTGTGATCCTACACTTAATTTAAACAATACCCCATTGCAAGAGAAAAGGCTCCATCCTGATGCAAGTAGCAGCTGGAGGAAGAGATTTTCATTGGAATCAGAAAAAAATATATTTATAGGTAGTCCTCAACTTATGACTATAATTGAGCTCAGACTTAAGGTTATAAGTTGTGCTGGTCATTAAGCAGGTCCCTGTGTAACCAAGCACAATTTTACAACCTTTTTCACTATGGTATTAAGTAATCACTGGTTGTTAAGTGAACAAAGTGGTCATTAAGTTAATCCATTTTCCACCATAGGCATTTTTTGCTGGAAACTGGAAGTAAATGCTGGCTTTGGCATTTAAATACTGGTTTTGGCAAGTGTAAAGCAAATTGTGATCAAATGACTGCAGGACATAGCAAATGGTCATAAATGTGGGTAGTTGCCGGACTCCCAAAATGCAATTCTGTGACTGTGGTGATGGGGGGAGGGGCAGCTGTTGGAATTTCAAACCTGGTCATAAGTAACCCTGGGGAGATCCATTGTAACTTCAAATGATCACTAAGCAACTGGTCATAAGTCGAGAACTATCTGTAATTGCATTACATTTTTTTTATCTGCCCATCCTCTTTTGGAACACTTTCCTAGCCCCCCCCTCCCTCCCCCTCCAGTGCCAAGAGTGGTTCTCAGTCTGAATAAACTTTGCAATCTTTATCTCAGAGCTGTAAGACCAGCATGAGACCCACTTATAAAGGAGACACCTGTCTCTGACATGAAGATTTTGGAAGAAGACGCCATAATCTTCTTTGAGGGAGCATAAAGCAAACTCTTTTTTAAAAAAAAGAATCAGTTCTTAAGTAACCAACAGTAACATTATAGATGGAAAAGACTAATTTTTGTCTGTTTGTTAATCAAAATATCTGTGATGCTCTTCAAAACTAACTTTTCCCAGAATGACTTACAAGTGTGTATTTTCAAAGTAAAGAGCATTTTAGTGCTATTTTGGATGGCAACCAAGATCACTTTCTTCAATGAGCTTTGCTCAGTGAAGGCAATTAATCTATAAGTATTTTGAGCCTGGAGAGGAAGCCCGGGGGGGGTGGGGGTGAAATAATGACAACGCACTGAATGTATGTTCTTCTTTGACCAGAGGTCATCTCAGGATAAACATACTTCTGACTCTGACAGCATAGCAACAACAGAAAATAGTTCTTCTCTGCCCCAAAGGGAGAGCCACGAACAAGGTGAGTCTGATATCTTCCCACTTTATAAGAGGGGAGAAAAGGCTGAGAATTAGAGCACATAAACTATAGGACTTAGTATAGTCACTAATACTGGTGATATTACCTAGTTTGGGTAATGAAATATCTGCAAGAAGGTCAGAAGTACCAAGGTCAGAAGTACCAAGGACTCCTCATGTCAACTCTGAACTAAGGTACGGGCGGGTGGGTGGNGGGGGGGGGTAGTCCCTTTTTCTAATAATAAAATTTCCTCATCAATTCGACACACTTTCTCTTTCCGCTTTCTTCCCGTTCCAGAGCTGTCCCAACTTCAGCAGCTTCATTAGCTGCATTTCTGTCGCCGGAAAAAAAAGGCTATTCCTGGATCTTTCAGGGACTTTGCTGTATCCCTGAGATCAGCAGGAGGTGCCCTTCTCAATCACAGTCTCTACGGGACGGTTTAGGTCCGAAGGACCGTCCAGCGGCAGAAATTCGACTGCGATCTCGGAGCACCAAGCTCGCACATCGTGCCGTCACGATATTAGCTCTCCAAGTCTTATCTTTTTTGTTGTTAATTTTGTTACCATTAAGCTACTGTAACTTTAAGAAGAAATTCTTTTCTTATTTCTGTAGTTTTATTCATAGCCATCTTGGATTTTAGGAACAAACAAGTCTACAGCACTTCTGCATTTCCTTCCTTCTTGTCCTTCTACCCTTGAATTTCTCTCCCAGATTCTCCACTGTTATTCCAATACATCCTCAGTGTTATTGGATCTTTTTCCACCACTAAAGAGATTAAATCTCACACGTGAAGTTCATTTGAAGTTGACTATTACTAATAACATGTATTCATTATTTAAAGTTCTTTCTTCCTCACGGTTTTGTTATGTACCTAGCACTTTTCTTAATCACTATTAGTAAATCAGCCTCTTATCACTAAATTATATCAGGATGTCATTGTCTCTCCTTTGTCTGCATTGCCTTATTTATTTAAAGTTTGCCTGTGTTGAAAAAAGAAATAAAACCTTTCACGGGGGACCTATGGCATGGTAAACAGAATGATCGCTGTGCTATGCTTCTCCCAATTCCAGAATTTAAAATCTAGTATCATCGCTTTTTGCTATGTTTACAAATTTCTGTAATAGTGCCATAATAGTGTCAATAAACCTCTTGTTTTGTTCTTTTTCCATTCACAGTTCTCCTTTCTATCCACCTACGGCAATCCAGGTGGTTTAGCATATACATATTAAACTATTAAAAACCTCTACTGAGAGGTAGTGTGGGAGCCAAATATATTTATCAAAAATAAGTAGTTTGTATTTTGAAAGCAGCACTCAAGAAGGCATAACCCAGGTGCCTCAAAAAGCAGCAGCAGTTTTAAAAGTGATTTTTTTAAAAAAATGTCTAGGCAGGTTGATAGCAGGAGTGGCAACATGGTCTATTTAAGCAAAATCAAATCAATCATTTCATAGGATGCTGCATTTTGAAGATCTCTAATATGGCAGATAATAGGTTATAATTGATTTGTCTTAAAGAACCTTTCATATACTATCCGCCACATGGGTTTTAAATACTAGCATCTCCATCTTGATCTACACCCAAATCTGACTCTTTCTAGGACTGCTGATTACTTGCCTCTCCATACATTGCCTAACCTTATCTGAGACCTCAAGAAGAGATTATGGTTGCTGACTCACCAACACTTTCTAGAGACCTGTGCCAAGCTAGGCATTAGTTCTACCAAACATTCTGTTCTAACTCACCATCCAAAACCTTCTGAATATCACAACACAGAATTTAGCCCAAAGAGGGTTGTGTTAGAGAACATGAATATTAGGAAGAGATGTCTACGCGTCTAATCTGAGGTCTATTCTAGACAAATTGATAGCATCCTGGGCTATGCAAAAATTGAGGGTAAACCAAAGAAAGTGGCTGAATATATCTGGCCAGCTACCTAATTTGCTTAGTCCTTTTGCAGTTATTTTCTCTCTAGTCTTTTGAGCAGTAAGGCTACTAACAACATTTTTTTCCAAATGCTTACAGTGAGTATTACTTCCACTGTGACTCTTCCTCAGCTTAACCCCCAGCTACTATATTTTACTCATTACTGTTAAACCTATAAGTGATCAGTTCCTCCAAAAACGAAATCTCTTTCAAATCTTCACTAATCCTTGTCTGCATAAAAATTATAATCTTCATAATTTATCATCTCATATCTTATATGGCTTTATTCTTTTAAAATCTTCACATTTTAAATTTTTCTATGATGTAAAAAGGGAATGGGTAATATAAATTAGGTCTTTGATTCTGTGTATTATGTTCTACTTTATACAGTACTCTTATATATTTTTATCTTTAAACAATTCTTTAAAAAATAGAATGCATTTTCATTTAAAAGTACACAATGATACAGATAGGAATATTGCAAGATATGGTTTGTTCAGAATATCAGTATTAATTTTTCATTACAGTCTATATTACTACTTCAATTAATTATGCTCTGATCTCTGTGCTGCTCTTATGTTTCTATAAAGTAAAATTATTCAGATTTATATCTGCTAATTAAAGTAACAAAATATTTGATAATAGAAATAAGGCATTTTTACAAGAAATATGTTCTATTTAATTGGGAGTGGGGTTTTGGTAGCATCTCCTACTTATATATGCAAAATTAATGGGTTATATTTCCCATTCTCTTTTATTTTCATGATTTATATCTTATGATGTAGGAGTTCTGAATCTAAGTGAGGTTAAAGGCTTCATCACATCTTAATCTTGCCTGCCAGATACAAACCCTTAGATAACCAGCATTGGTAAAACATTTAGGACTTTGTTTTCAGAAAACAATAAGCACGGACCAGTTAGCAGATTAGCTAATTTAGCATTTTTTCTATCTTTCCCAATATATTTTATGGGTAACCTCATGTAGAGGTAATTGCAATTATATTGAGATGTAATCAAGGCACAGATAACTGAATGATTGTAGTTAATTCATGAAATAAAACTATACAAACACACTCTTTGCCATCACCTGAGGAGCTGGAGATAAGATCAGGAAGCATTTTCAGACAATATGCTTGCTCTTTCATGGAGTCATACAATCCAAATTCATACAAGCTGAATCCCAATCCCTTTTCATTGCCCAACACCACCTCAACTTCATCTGGATTTAATTTATCCTTGTTTTCACCTCTTCCACCTTTTTATCAAAGTTAGGCAACATTCAATGGTATGGTTAAGAACTTTCTTGGAGTTAATATGGCAGGAAATCCGTAGAAAAGAGGAATATTAAATATTTTTGCATAACGAATAAGGAAGTTTTCTATTAGCTTATGGTAAGGTTGGGCAACTTGTTCAATAGTGTGATGTGAGCTATTGAGCATCAGCCAATATAAATGTTTTCAAATATAATTTTCATTCATTCTGTTTAGAAATTGTTGCTTGCAATTTTGGGGCCAGAAATGCTTTAGGAACCATATGTAATCATTGTTATCAATATTTTTATTATCTGTTCTAAAGTCAGTGACCAGGTTATAGCCATTACAGCAACAATTCATGCTATTTCCAATAGCTTGTAGAAATCTGTCAGTTTGTTTATGCCTTTTCTTCAACTCTATAAAATTATTTTGGTCAGAGGTTAACATACTTTACAGTAAAATATACTTTGTATCATGGAAATGATCTGAACTGGTATATTTACTCTAGCTTGAAAGTTTATATGGTCCCGTTCCCCCCCCCCCCGCTAATCTTGACCAAAAGAATGAGGAAAATGCAAGATAAAAACTCAAACTTTTATGAAACTCAGTGCTGTGGCGTACTGAGAAGCAATAGCAAGTATGTGCCTGTTTAGATTGTGAAAAATAAAAATTATTGCACATTGAGACAGAATTCATATCTGCAGGTTGCTTCACTATGAACCCTAGTTGAACTCATAAACAATAGGTATTTTAAGAAAAAGGCTATCACCTGAGTTTACCTATTTACAAATTGGTGGGCAAAGCCAGATGATACAAAAGTAGATTGACTTGTAGTCTGACTCAATAAAAATAGTCTAATTCTATGAGATTAGCAGTAACAGTACGGAAGATTAAATTCTCTCTGTTTCCTCATAGACAATGACTCTGATGCAATGAGCAGCTCCTATGAATCTTACGATGAGGAGGAAGAGGATGGGAAAGGCCAGAGGTTAACACACCAATGGCCATCAGAGGAAGCTTCCATGAATCTGGTGAAGGATTGCCGGATTTGTGCTTTCCTGTTGCGTAAGAAGCGCTTTGGACAGTGGGCCAAGCAGCTGACAGTTGTTAAGGACAACAAGCTTCTGGTGAGTCAGTGGTTTTTAGAATTCCAGTTTTTGTAGTAATGACAGGTCTTTTTGAAGAAGACAAATTCCTTTCCAAATTACATACTAAAATTAATTTGTAATAGCACCACTGGTTATAATGAAACCCAAAGGCCTGTTGATAAAGTGATATTGTCACCTGCTTCTAGAATACCATAAATATGTGGGTCCTCTTGCTACAGGAAAAAGTTATTCCAAAAGGGAAGCTGCTATCTATTTTCTGGTGGGTAAGGACCCTTAGCAGATGCTCACTAGATAGTCAAAGGGACAGGCAGAAATTATTGGAAAAAGGCAGTCTCTAGGATAAAAGGATATTGTGCTAATGAAAGTATGATAAATTTATGCTGCAGATATTGATAGGATTGACAGAAAAGAAGCATGCTGGCTATTGTTTTAAAGGCTTCTGATGTACAGTGACAGCAGCATTTTATTATCTGGGATTTTCTAAAATAAAAGTTTGCAGGCATAAAAGTTTGCAGCATAGAATTTGGTACGATACTCCGATTAAAATATCTAACAAATTCTAACTTGGTTATTTAAGGCCAGTAGGAATAAAGCTGTGCTCAATTTGATGCTCTGTATCATATATTCATTGTGTGAGCTTCTTCTTGGCTATATGATACACTATTGTTATTAGTCACTATTGTCATTAATTAAAGGAGAGGTGATAATGGTACAGTTTCTCTTCCAGGCCTTTTCCCCATTTCAAATAAAGGAGTCAGCTAACACAGATGTGGCTAGGTCTACAAGAAAAAAAATACAAGTCTGTACAATAATTTGAAAAGGTTAATTCATGCACTGACTTTAATTTCAAATAGTCTTCCTTCTATATGAAGATCAATGCTAGGCACACCAAAGCATTTGAAGAATATTATACTTAGACTTTGCCTTGATAGATGGAAGATTATTCCAAGGGATTTAATAAAGCATATTACTAATTGTAAATTGTGTCCATTGACTGACCAATTTAATGCCTATTATCTTTTAGTGAACACCATTATTTTTATAATTAAACTTTAAGGATTGACTGTCAAAATAGGAGTAAGAACACAGAATGTTCTTTGCAAACCTACTTGGGTTTGCAGGAGAATTAACATATCATCCATGTAAAGATATATGCCAAGGAGAACACAAGTGAATTAATATGTAAATTGAATAATGGAAGCAAGATGCAATTCTACCTAATTCTCCTAAAGGTTGAAATGTCTTTGGTGAGATGCCCCACCAAAGTGGATCTTAAATGTGAGTTTTGATATCAAAATTAGTTCAGTTGATGTTGAGAGTAATATGTCATATTCAACATGATATCTTGATATCAGGTTGAATAGGTATCAAAAAATAAGAAACACTGTATAAAATGCAATTGGGGGATATGTTCCTTTGCCAGATGGTGCAGCATGAAGGCTGAATGTAAAACAGAATGGCCTGGTTGAAAGCCAAATTGTTCTGCCAAAATAGACTCCATCCAAAACACTAATCATTCATACAGATTTGCTGACTCTACTGGACAGACTTTTTAAGTTTCTTAATTTGGTGGCAGCTTTCTCTCACTTTTTTGTACATTGGAATTATTATTGCCATTCTCCCACCCACCCCCGCCCCCAATCTTTAGAGATATGCATGATGCAGTCAATTAAAAAGGAAAGAGAAAAGCCAGGATTGGGTTTTACCACTCCAGGTTGTTCCTGATTATCTAATGTAATATTATGTAATACTACATTATTATGATACTCAGGGACTTTATCAGACTTGACCTTTACTATTCAGATATGTTTCTGAGAAGGTTACTGATGCCTATTCTAGGAAGAATCCACATCCAAATGTAATGGGGTAATGGCTTCTTTGTTGTTCTTATATAGTGGTCAGGATTGTTCCTCTCAAACCACTGAAGGAATAGGGCCATCAATTCCACACACACACACACACACACACACACACACACACACACACACAGACAGACACACACACACACACAAAAGATTGTGAGCCTTCTCTTTATGGGGAAGCACAGTAACATCAAAGACATTGCTGGAGCAATCTTGGAATCAGGCAGCCATTCCATCTTGTTTGGACCAAGTCCAGATCTTGGTGGCCTCCACATAGCAGGTCATGATTTCCACTGCATCTCCCAATGGGACCAGGGGAGAAATGTGTAGCTGAATATCATCTGCATATTGATGATACCTTACTCTGAACCAATCTATAATGTCTCCCAGTCCATTCACCTAGACATTTTTGATACAACCTTTATTCTCCCCTGTAAGGCCGTGATGGCGAACCTATGGCACACATGCCACAGGTGGCACACGGAGGCCTCTTTGCCAGCATGTGAGCTGTCGCCCCGGCTGAGGTCCACCACATATCCCGACAGCCAGCTGATTTTTCAGGTCTCTGCAGGTTGTGTTGTTTAATCAAAATGCAGTTAAAACACTATACAAGCCATCAAGAATATAACTATATACATCCAACAGGAACAGGAAGTGCCTCACAGGAGCAGATAGAGGTAAATCCTAGAGAGGCTGGAAATGTATCATTGAACAATGGAGATGAATGTTAGAGAGGAATAAAGCTGCATAGAAGGCAGATATAATATCTGTAACAGCGTAGGCATGCACAGGGGATGGGGGTAGTGCGGGGGG